GTCGAACTTTCTTTTCACTTAGCGATGACCGATGGCCGTAAGGGTGTAAATTCGAGCGAGGTCGAAATCATAACCCATTGTGAGTTCGAGTGAGGTTGAACTTTCTTTCATTTGGCGAGCGGGTTTGGAGAGATGGTGAGATTTGTCTGTTGTATTACTTTTATTGGAGAACATTACTCGTTGCCTCATTGTTTACGCGTGCGTCGGGGTGAGTCCCGATTTGTTTAATTTTGCTTTCGTTGGAGAGTACTGTGCGTCGGGGTGAGTCCTAGTTTATCTGGTCCCTTCGTTGCCTGGCCTAGAGAGGCCGTTAACGGGGCAGATGATGAACTTATTGCTTGGGTCACTAGGCACCCTGGGACTTCATTAATTTAAACGACGTTCGGGTGTGACTCATAATATTTAGTTGGACGAATTGGCGTGATATTTAGTCGGCTATTCGGGCGAGCCTTTCGAGTTCATGTTCTGCCTGTGTTGAAGAGATTATGTGCTCCATGGGCTTATTACGCCGTTCCAAGTTATAGAGATTGTTTCTTAACAATGTCGGCCTGTTCTGAGCCGTTTCTGTTACTCGCAGTATGGTATGGCGCGGGGGTTTTTGCTTAGTGCGTTCAGTGGCGTTTGTTCCTTGTTCGCGCACTTGTGGGAACGCTAGTGTTCCTATCTCAATCCAAAAAAGAAAATGACAAGTTAAACCCAAACGGAATTGCCGGTTACCTTGACCTGGTAAGTCGGCGAGGGGGGAGGGGCGCTGTAGGGCGACCCGTTTCTTCCCGTACTCAAATGGTGATTTCAGATCTGGAAGCCCCGTGTGGCTTCACTGTTAGTCGCGTCTAGGCTTCTTATGGGCTGAACTTACCTTGCCCATTGGGATCTCGAGCCCGAGTCCCGATCCGATCCCGTCCAAGATTTGCGCAAACAATAAGGGAAACATGTTATACTCTGTACATAAATTACACCGTGCGTACGGGTACAAAAATAAAGCAGGATAGGCTGGTTATTTCAAAGAATCATGCAGTAGGCCGTCGTCCCTTCCCAAGAGGTGGAAGTATGCTGTTAATACGGCAAATAGGGTTTCAGACGTGCTAAGTGCGTAGTGGCCATAATCCCACTTTGAGTACTCACGATGTGCCAAACCCATCGCTACAGGCGAGGCGTGGGTTTTGTATAGATATCAGACATAATTTTTCTGACCCTAATTGGTTTGGTTATTTCTAAAAGCTTACCTACGACTTTCCCCAATTAGTATTTTACTGAGTGGGTGAGGCTATGAAAACCAGGAGGCGAAACTCTGATTGGTTTTAGATCTAGAGAGAACTAAGGTTTTGGTTAGAAAATTCCCACAGATGACGTCAAATTTTTTGATAAAAAAGTGTTAAGCTTTAAAATAGAGGATAAATCCTAGCCAAGGATAATTAATTCTAGATCAAAACACATTGAACAAGAGAGTAAGATATAGTCAAGATTATGAACCTCTAAGATTAAAAAGGGATATGGAACATAAATGACATGCTTACATTCTTGATGTACTATTCTTTAATGTAAGAGCAAAGGAGGAAAAGAAGGGATGCCATTAACAGCTGCGGAATCAATCTTTATTGATTTGAGAAAGATGATTACAAAGATTTACATCCAAGATTCTAGACCTTGGCTTCATTTTCCTCAGAGACCTTTTTCGGCCCTTCTCTCTTTTTTTCCTGTTGCCCAGAGCCCCCCCTTTTATTGTTCTCTCGCCCCTATATATATATTATAAGCATTCCCTTTTATCCAACGGTCCTCATCCAAAACACCCTAATCTACTGATTGTGCTTTAGGTCGTTCCCCTTAAGTGTCACGACATATACTTCGCCTTACAAACTTTCTGATAGTTCGATCTCGGCAGTGGCGGAGATACTCATCGTTTCAGCACTAATCTACGTATGGTCAGATTTTGACCCATACAGTATCCACATCAGATAAGTTTCTACATGTAATTCTCTTATTAGATATCATCTCTTTCCATTGTCCCCTTACTATGTTCCTCTTACTTTGTTTAAGTCTTTTTTTTTTAGTCTGTTTTGTCAGAACAAGTGAGAAATGACTTCAAAATTTGCTACCAGCTTTCCAATTGCATAAAGCTGAGACTGGCTAGCACATCAAAGTGGCATAAGTCAGGAAAGAATAGTATGCGCACTGAGTTGACAACAATTGACATGCTTTAGGATTCATGTGAAATGCAAAGGTTCGGTAAATGTCAATTTATGAGCACAATGCAACAAATAAAGGGTATTGGACTTGAACGGATCAGAGGTATTTTCTGCGATAAGGGTTGGCAGAAAAGTGGTTAGTCAATAACAAGTAAGATCCTCCAAGTTGAAATCAAAGTTTTCATGGCAAGTGTAGGAGAAATCTCCCTCAAGGTCAAGGCCACAAACCAACCCATGTTTTAAACTCACAAATATTATTACACCTATATATATATGTATATTTTTATACAAAGTTTCTAAAATTTTATAGTACATGTTAATCGTTTGCACTTTTAGTCTAGTTCGTTGTTATTATAATAACCTGGTTCTTTAATTTGCCTTTATATTCTGTTGTTGTTTTCTTTTACTAAGTACAAGAATCTCTTTCATGTTAAAAATAATCTGTTTTTAATGGAGTCCTTGTCAAAACTAGCAGTGAATCAGTTATAAGCTAATGCCATTGAAAGAGAATGGAACAGTGGAAGATTCTAGAGAGGTTTTCTGTATTTTGTTTCTATATGTTAGAGAAGGAAGTGAACCTTCCTTTTATACAGAGTAAAAGAGAACGACAGCTGGACACACTAGTCACATGTCCTTTCCACTAACTAACTATGACTGCTTAACTAGCAGTATTTTGCATACATTTTCAATACTCCCCCTCAAGCTGGAGGATGAAATACATTGAACACTCCAATCTTGGACAATAGGTATTGATGTTGCATAGTTCCTAAGGCCTTTGTCAGTATGTCTGCCAGCTGATCATTGATAGTTCCTAAGGCCTTTGTCAGTATGTCTGCCAGCTGATCATTGATACTCACTTGTTGAGTTTGTATCAACCCCTCTTTAATCTTCTCCCTAATAAAATGGCAGTCTATCTCGATATGCTTGGTTCTTTCATGGTAGATTGGATTAGAAGCAATTTGAATTGCTGCTTTGTTGTCACAAAAGAGCTGTACAGGTCTGGAAATTGGCACACTTAACTTTGCCAGAAATCCTTCTAGCTAAATTACTTCCGAGATTGCTGCTCCCATGCTTCTGTATTCAGCTTTTGCTGCTTCTTTGATTTCTAAGAAATCAAGGACTCTCCCAGCTTCACCACGAACCCTGTCACTAACCTCCTAGTGTTTGGGCATGCTGCCCAGTCTGAATCCCAGAAGACTGTCAACTCAGCTTTAGGATCTCTTCTTAGTAGCAATCCTTGTCCAGGTGCATTCTTTATGTACTTCATTAGCCTTAATGCTGCATTCCAATGTGAAATCTTTGGTCCTTGCATGAACTGACTTAGAACTTGCACTCCAAAACTGATGTGAGGCCTGGTAATGGTGAGGTACAACATCCTCCCAATCAACTTCTGATAAGCTATTATGTCTTCAAGTACAGGATCATTGACACCCCCAACACATTCATCATAGTCTATTGTTGTGACCTTCATATTTACTTCCAGTGGTGTGGTTACAGGCCTAGCTCCACTGAGTCCTAGATCATATATCAGTCCAAGTGTATACTTCCTTTGATTGAGTAGTATGCCATCTTTGGACCTCATTACTTCAATTCCCAGAAAATACCTCAGCTCTCCTCGGTCCTTTACCTTAAAATTGTTATGCAAAGTTCTTTTAGCTTCCTGTATCAGTTCCTTGCTGCTTCCAGTGATTAGGAGATCATCCACGTACACCAAGATGATGGATATTTCTCCTCCTGCTCGTTTGGTGAATAAGGAATGATCATAGGAACTCTGTTGGTAGCCTGCTGCTAGAAGTGCATCAGTAAGTGTATGTTCCATTGTCTCGAAGCTTGTTTTAACCCATATAGGGACTTGATTAATTTACACACTTTATACTCCCCATGTCGTTGGAAACCTTGAGGAACTTCCATATAAACTTCTTCAAATAAATCCCCTTGTAAGAATGCATTATTGACATCCATTTGATGTAATTCCCAGTCCTTGCATGCTGCCACAGTAATGACAGTCCTCAGAGTGACCATTTTGGCCACTGGTAAGAATGTCTCATGGTAGTCTAGTCCCTCCTTTTGATCTTGACTACAAGTCTTGCTTTGTATTTATCTATATCCCTATTAGGCTTATGCTTTATCTTATACCCATTTGGATCCAATAGCTTGCTTCCCTTTTGGCAGATTTACTAGTTCCCAGGTATGGTTTTGCTCTAGGGCTGCTATCTCTTCCTTCATTGTTGTTATCCAGTTGTGATCTTGAGATGCTTCAGTGAAGTTCTTTGGTTCCATTTGGGCTGAGAGCAATCCTAAATATTGCTGATATCCTGGTGACAACCTGTTGTAATCCACGTAATGGTATACTGGATATGAATACCGTCCAGTGGGTTTACTTGTGCTCACATAGTCCTTGAGCCAAATTGGAGGTCTGGTCACTCTCTTCCCCCTGCCATTGTCTGTAGGTTGTTCCATCACATTTGATTCCTGCAATGGTGTAGTTTCATCTTCAGATTCAACATGGATTCCTAGTGTGTCCTCCATAGGTTCTGCAACTTCTGTAGGATGTGTGGGTACTAGCAGCTCAGGATGTGTATTTCCAATATCAGGGGTGTGTGCTTCTATTAGGGGATCTGTGGTATTTGAGGGATTTGTTGTACTTGGTAGTTCAGGTTGTAAAGTCTTTCCAGCAACATCTGTTATAGGGACAAATAACAGCTCATCATCACATGCGTTCCCCATTTTGAAAGGAAAAGTGGATTCCCTGAATATGACATCTCTGCTCATGAAGAATGTCCTTGTGTCAAGGTCAAATAACTTGTAGCCCTTCTAAGTATCAGAATACCCCGGCAACACTGCTCTCCTTGTTCTTGCATCTAATTTGTCACCTCCAGGCAAATTACTAGCATAGCTCAAACACCCAAAAACCCTTAGATGGTCGAGTTTAGGTACTTCCCCATATAACAGCTCATAGGGTGTTTTCCCATCTAGAACAGCAGTAGGTAATCTATTAATAAGATATGTTGCAGTTTTAACACTTTCTCCCCAAAAAGTGACTGGAACTGAGCTCTTTATCTTCAGAGATCTGGCCACTTCTAATATATGCCTGTGCTTCCCCTCAAGCACACCATTTTGTTGTGGTGTGTATGGGCAGCTACTCTGATGAACTATCCCATGTGAAGTAAACAACTCATTACATTGTGAATTGAAAAATTCTGTCCCATTATCTGATCTAAGCCTTTTCACAACAGCTGCAAACTGAGTTTTTATCATAGTCAAGAAATTTTTCAATACAACCACAACTTCACATTTTGATTGTATCAAACATACCCATGTAAATCTACTGTAATCATCTACAACAATAACAAAATATTGCTTTCTGTCATAACTGGCCCTCTTATAGGGTCCCCAAACATCTACATGTACTTATTGAAAGGCACAACTAGATTTATGCTCACTACTAGGGAACTTTAATCTGCTCTGCTTAGCCATAGGGCACACCATACACTCTTCTTGTATCTTGTCAGTTACTTTGTCCTTCAGCAAGGGAATGTGCTTCATTGCTCCTACTGAGAGATGTCCCAAACTCAAGTGCCACAAAGTTGCCATGTCTTCATTCTTAGTTACTGCTGCTCCAAGTGGTGATTCCATTCCTCTCTTCAGAATGTAGAGGCCACTGTTTTCTCTACCAATCCCCATTACCTTCCCACTGTAAAGTGCCTGAAACACACAGAAGCTAGGGAAGAATGCAACTGAACATGAAAGTTCCATAGTTAATTTCCATCATCATAACAAATTAAACTTAAAGTCTGGCACATGCAACACATTAGTGATCTTGTACTTTCCTAGTATCTATGTGCTATTTGTATTAGCTACGTGTGATCTTCCTCCAGTTGGCACTTGCACTTTACTGTTCTGCAGTTTATCTATATGTCTGAGTTCTTGTAACAACTCTATGCAAGGTGTAGTATGGTGTGAGGCACCTGAATCTACTATCCATTCACAACTATATGTATTGGATAGTAATGAAACAGTACCTGCCATGTTGCTACTGCATCCTTCTTGTGGGGACTTATTCAGCAATCCCATCAGTTGTGAATATTCTTCTTCTATGAAGAAGTGGCCTTGGACTTGCCTCTCACTTGCTGTGTTGTTGGCATAGGATCTGAAGCCAGTGTTGTTCTGATTTGTTCCTCTGAACTGCCCTTGTTTGAAGTTGTTGTTTTGCCATACGCCACCTTGTTGCCCTGATCTCTTCTTGCTTTTAAAATCTGCCGGATAGCCAACAATTTTGTAGTAATTTTCCTTCAGATGCCCCTTATATCCACAGTGTTCACACACTAGTCCTGGAGTTTTAGGTCTAACCATTTGAGCCTTCCCTGCCAACAGATTCAGTGGCTCTTTGTTGTCAACTACACCCAAGGTTCTTTGGCTTTCCTCTTGCGTAACAATGGCATACGCCTCATTTACCGTAACAACAGGTCTCCTTGCCAATATATTGCTCCTAATGTTGCTATAGCTCTCATTCAATCCCATCAAAAATTGCAGTAGGCATTGGGATTTCAAGTGTTCAATAGAAGGTCTTGCCTCCTCACAGTCACAGCTTGACAATGGAGCTAAAATGTCTAGTTCATCCCAAAAGTCTTTCATTTTCAAGAAGTAAGTAGTGACTGAGTCTATATTCTGTCTCACTGTCACGATCTCCGTCCACAAATGATAGATTCTTGTTAAATTTGATCTATCGAACCTTTCCTGGAAATCACTCCATATTTTCTTCGCATCCGAAGCAAACATTATGCTAGGCATTAGTTCACTCGCTACTGTACTTCCTATCTATGACAGCAATATAGCGTTACATTTTTTCCATTGTTCAGCTAATTCTCCTCTATATCTACTTTTTGGACAATTTCCATCCACAAACCCTAATTTTCCTTTTCCTCGCAGAGCTAATTTCATAGCTCTACTCCATAAGGCATAATTGTTAGGGCCAGTGAGTTTTACGGGAATCAAAACAAAACCTGGTGCATCTCCGGCCTGGAGGAACAATGGATGATTGTGTTCGAGCATGGTCACCTCATTTTCTGCCATTATACTTAGCAAATTGAGCCAATCGAGACTCCTCGTTCGTTGATTTCTCTGATTCTGTAAAGATGAACTTTCCGGCGAGAATTGCTCAGGTCTTCACGTCGGAGCTCCGGTCCTCACAAACGCTGCTCTGATACTATGTCAAAACTAGCAGTGAATCAGTTATAAGCTAATGCCATTGAAAGAGAATGGAACAATGGAAGATTCTAGAGAGCTTTTTCCGTATTTTGTTTCTATATGTTAGAGAAGGAAGTGAACCTTCCTTTTATACAGAGTAAAAGAGAATGACAGTCGGACACACTAGTCACGTGTCCTTTCCACTAACTAACAATGGCTGACTTAACTAGCAGTATTTTGTATAGATTTCTAATAGTCCTTAAATTATTTATCACTATTTGATTCAGTTATCACCAATATATCTTGGTAAATGATAGATTCTCAAAGAGCAATTGCTTTGATAGTACTACAAGAAAGTATAGAATTTGCAACAATGTTTTAGCAACAACTAAAATATTATTGGCTAAAATTGATAAATGGCAACAATTCGATAAAATTGTTGCTATAGCTTAGATTTTTTGGCAACAAAATTTTCTTGTTGACGAACATGTTAATTTTGTTGCCATATGCTATGATTTAGATAATAAATTTTAAATTTTAAAATTGGCAACAACATTCTAGCAACAACTATATTATTGTTGCCGAATTGTAATAAATGGAAATAACTAATTTTAGTTGTTGCAAAAAATAAAATTTTTAACATAATAAAATTAAATTATAAACAAAATTGACAACAATAAAGTTTTTTTGTTGGCAATACACATTAAATTGCCAACGAGATGCGTGGATCGTGACCTAAATCTTTCCAATTTTTCGCCAAAATCAAACGCGACAAACCAAAAGCCTTTTAGTTACTTTTCCCGGGTTTTTAGCCCACTCTCTAGTAACTATTCTTGCTAGGGTTTTCTTATCAGTTCTAATTCAAAGAGTTCCTCCCCTGTTGCGTCCTGCTGCTGCTGATCGAAGAAGAACGGTCAGAAGACCTGTTGCTGCTGATCGGAGAAGAACGGTAAGAACTCTATCTTCAATTGATTTACCCCATTGCTGCTACACTAAATTATGGAAATACCAATTTCTGTGATTGTCTTTTATCAGTGAAGTAGTTAATTGGGTATGGGCATCTTAAATTGTTCTATGCCAGAGTAGGATTTGCGCTTTTTTCTCCTATAATTCCATATGCTTCAGAAATCAACGTTGCATAAGATTGTTGTTTTAAATTTATCCAGATTCTTGTTCCTTACATAAGTTTTTTGTTTTAAAGTTTTTCCAGATTCTTGTTCCTTTTTTAATGGACTTTTTTCTATTGTTGGCATAACATGAATGTGATATTATCCTCGAACGATTCTGTGATAAGAGATTGGATTGAAGGTCAACGGTTTCACACTTCATGAGAAGTTTATCTATTGCTTGTTATTTGTGGTATTGGATCTGTTTGGTCATGAAAAGTTTGCTTTATGTCCCCTGTCCAATTTTGGTTCTTTTAATATTTTATTCATGTATATGGCTATTCATTGAATCCAAAGTAAAGTAAATTTTGGATTAATCGTCAGATGCATTAAATTATTACTAAGTTCTGGTGGTAATATAAGTAATTTACAATTGTAGTTGATTTTCAACTTTGGGAAGAATCATTGTTTTACTAAGTATTTATATTATTTTATTTTTTTAGAAAAGAAAAATCTTAGACAATTAGTATCTCATTCCCTTACACTCTGTTAACATCTGAGAGAGTGTGAAAGAAAAATCTTTTATCCAATCACAGATGAATCGATTCGCCTTGGAATTTTTAATTTTTAAAGAAGAGCACATACTCTGTCTTAGACATCAATACTTCCCTGACTCCCAGTAAACAAGAGTCTACTAAGGCTGCTAAAACCCATAAATTGATCAAAGTGCACATTCATTTATCTTTTATTTCTGAAATATCATGATGTTGTTGCTTCTGTCTCACCTTCATAGTGCACAATTTGCTTGTTTGTTAATTCTGTTCTGTTTAGAAATCATCATTTTCTTAATGGTATTTCAGTAGAAAAAAAATACATATGTCCTCAGTTCCCTTCCACTGCTGGCATAATCCAACTTCATGTTAGTATTTTAAGCTTAATGTTATTGGTACATATGTAGTCATTTAGCTTACACAATTCTTTGACTCTTTTGTTTATTCCTTATTTTATTAGATAGTCTTGTATCATTAATCCTTATGGAGTAAGAAATTCTATGTCATCTTACTTTCCCCACCTGCTATGGTGTCGAAGGTAACACGAGTGCGATGTTAAATTTATTAAAGGTGAGTTTGGAAAATTATTTGGATATAGTTACAAGTAATTACATAATTCATGCTCTTCTAGCATTTGCATTTCTATGATTCAGTTCAAGCTATGACCTTGCCATATTACAATTCAGAAGAAGAACAAAAAGAGCAAGAAAAAATGATGTTCAAATTAAAAATTAAAAGAAGAAGCTGAAGACAAGAAAATTACAGCTCTGGACGTAGGCAAAATATCGAAAAAGCATATGATAGTAGTCATGTTTGTGAACTATAAAATTAATTGAGCATGGAACAGAGTTCTGAATTTTTGAGTTGGGGTTTGCATGGAATAGAGTTTTGAATTTTCATGCACTTTAACTTAAAAGTCACACAAAGAACTTATCACGACCCAAAATCCACTAAGGATCGTGATGGCGCCGGACACTGCTATCAGGCAAGCCAACCAAGTTACTTAATCAAATTCTCATTTTAATACTTCTGAAATCTATGATTTTCCTTCAAGTTTAGCAATATTAAAGAATATAGTCTCAAATCAAATTTAAATGATAAGCAGTTAATACAATACTTCAAACTATCCCAGAACCCGGGGTCACAAGTGCATGAGCGTCTACTGATAAGGAAGTAAACTACAACATCCGTCCGGAATACAATGGACGGGAAATAAATACAATGTACTGAAGAGCGCTATACTAGCTACTGGCCGCCTCGAATAGTGCAACTCACCTAGCCCCAGATCATCCGCGCTGCTACGCCCAGTGGGCTGCTAGAAATAAATATACCTGTGCAACAAAAATGCACAGAAGTGTAGTATGAGTACGTAAGCAACGTGTACTCAATGAGTATCCCGCCTAATATCGAAGAAGTAGAGACGAGATGGTCAACTTCGACACTTACTAGAGGTCATTTGACAATATACTAAAAATGTGAGGAAATCATGGATTTATATAGCAGTTCTAATTCATGAAGCCAGAAAACAGATAAACACCTTCAACAAATAATCAAGGATTTTCAAGGTTTACTCTTTATTATCTTATCAATTTATATCAAGCCACGAAGGGCAAATTTCACATTTACAGCTCTCAAGTAACAATATAACATGTGCAAATCACACCGAGGCGACGGCCCGATCCAACAGAAATAAACTGTGCACTTGCCGAGGGTCGACGGTGCGCCTGTAGATGCATCTATTTAATCTGCCGAGGCGTTCGGCTCGTTCCATAAATAAACACATACCCTGCTCGCGAATCATGCATGCGACGCAGGTACACATAGAGATACATGTTCAATCAGTCAATTAAGAACTTATCGGGAATATTTATCCAAATAAAATAATTTCTTTTCTTAACAATTCAGGAAAAATGATGTTCAATCTCCTTTTAAATTCATTTACTAATCCAAGGTGATTTAAGCAACTCAAGCTATCAATGGGTTCATAAATAATCCAAGTATAACATGATGTGGGTCCTAACTACCCGGACAATAGCATAATAGTAGCTACGCACGAACTCTCATCACCTCGTGCATACGTAGCCCCCGCAATTAGGAGCACATAATCAATTATTTCACCTATGGGGATAATTCCCTCTTACAAGGTTAGAAAGGAGACTCACCTTGCTCCGAAGATCCATAACCGGCAATCCATGCCCTTCCGGGGACTCCAATTTATGCACCATGCTCCAAAACTCATGACAAGTGACGAAAATGGCACCTCAAAGCTGCTCCCCTTCGACTCCAATGGAAGAAAAAATGGGGTTGAAATGAACTCAACCCCGAACTTAAAAGACCTCACTGCTTCAGATGTTTCCGCTTTTGCGGTTCCTTGGCCGCTTCTGCGGTTCCGCAGGTGCGGTTAAAATGCCGCATCTGCGGTCTTCCCTGAGCCACCCCTTTCTCGCTTCTACGACTTGCCACCCGCAGATGCGGTTCCGCTTCTGCGGAACATTGACCGCATCTGCGGTCCTCTCCAAGATACTCCCATCTGCTTCTGCGACCCTTTCTCCGCAGATGCGGTTCCGCTTCTGCGGTACTTTGACCGCATCTGCGGTCCTCAAGCCTTAGACCAAAACCCGCTTCTGTGGCTCCGTGTCCGCTTCTGCGGTCAACCCACCGCAGAAGCGAAAATACCAGCAACTAGTTCCTTCAGCTGTCCAAAAATCCAAATTTCGATCCGTTAACCACCTGGAATTTACCCGAGGCCCCCGGGACCCCAACCAAACATACCAACCAATCCTAAAACACATTACAGACTTGCTCGAGGCCTCAAATCACATCAAACAACGCTAAAATCATGAATCGACCTCCAATCCAAACTCAATGAACTTCAAAAATTCAAACTTCTATTTTCGATGTTTAAACCTATCTAATCACGTTTGATAGACCTCAAATTTTGCGTACAAGTCATATTCGACATTACGGACCTACTCCAACTTTCGGAATTGGATTCCGACCCCGATATCAAAAAGTCCACCTTCGGTCAAACTTGTCAAAGACCTTCAAATTTCTATCTTTAGCCAAATTGTTCCAAAATGACCCACGGACCTCCGAATTCACTTCCGATCTCGCCCCCAGCTCCAGAATCACCATACGGAGCTATTCACAGTCTCGGAATCCCAAACAGACATCGATAACACTAAAATGCACTTCAAGTCAAACTTAAGAAATTTCTCCAAAAATGCTA